TTAAAATGTCGCAAAAAAACGATTTGCAAAAATATTTTTAAAATGGTTAGTAAGGTAGATGTTATGATTAGATTTAAAAGGTTATCGATATAAATAAAATGACGTTTTTTTATAACTAATTTCTCTAATTTTTTATTATAGAATTTGTAGTTTTTAGGAATCCATACACCACTATTAATTACATCCACTATTAATTAAAGTGTTTCAATTAATCTTTTTATATTGCATAAAATTATTTTCTTTAAGTATATTTCAATATATATACATATTGCACTTTGAATTAATATTGTTAAAATGGTAATTGCAGGACTTACAAAAGGCGAACATCTTGTTGCAAGCTGCCATCCATCAGACAAACAGAGTGTAGAAGCTTTTACGGTAATATGCAAAATTTACTGATATATATATATATATATATATATATATATATACTAGTTGTACCGTGCCCCGTTTTGCTGTGGCATATTGTAATTGAATGGTTGAGAGTTGTGAAATGAAACAAAGAATATACTTGCAATATTTGTAAATGCACAATATACTTCTTCCACATCAGTCTTTGTACAATTCATCTGTGAAATAAACCCTTTGTCTATTTTTTTTATTTTCAAGTGAACAGGTGGATTGCGTTCACGCAAAGGAAATGAAAGAACTTGCCAAACAGTCCCACTGCTGCTTATGCACCTTACAGCCTGGTTTTGACCAATTTCAGAGATATCTTGTACTGCATCTTTGTCACCATTATTTGATTGCACACTAAAAACTGCCATATCACTGCCTTTATTGACATTTTTAACAAAATTATAATATTCCACGTTTATGTGGGCTTTATTGCTTTTTGATGGCGAAGTATGGAATTACCCAACAGTTGTCTGCATCAATATCACCATTGTTCATGTTTATATTTGACAAATTCCCATAATCTTCAGTTGTTCTTCTTCTATACCAAGGACATCCATCGTCGTCACTTACTGTATTGGCTATGATTGCTCGAGCATATTGCTGCTTAAAGCATTTACCATCTACCATGCATGGTTAATTTGGATTTAGTGAACCACATGGTTCATGTATCATGTTTCTTATAATAACTGCATGCAAATCTTTATCAACGTAAGTCCGTGTGATCTCGGCGCATATCACATTGTCAATTTGATATGTAGATATTTTATTGTACAACCAAATTAGTATATGTACATGTGGGAATCTCTCTTTTGCCATTCCCTCAAATGGCCCAAATTTGACTTTTTGTGAGGCATTATTTCGGTTTTCACTATAACATCAAAACTACAGCTCGCAAACAAAAAGACACAGGATAGACATCATTGAAAATTAATAATACTTCATTTAAATAGTGAATAGCTAATAATAATTAGTAGACTAATAATTTACTTATTCATCAAATGTTGTATAAGGTATAGGCTCGAGCTATAAGTCTAGTCTACTTATACTTATAAGTAGGTAGGTAGTTACTTATTGGTATAAGATATCTACTTACTTAATTAAGTAAAATGCACAGTTCGATCAATTTTCAAAATTATTTGATTTAATAATATTTTCACGATTTTGTAAAGAGCGCAGCAAAAAGCTGTTTTTCGCGGTCTTGGATATGTGACTGATTCAAAAAGTAGATAAAAACAATCATGCAAAAATTTTGGCTAAACCGGTGTAGAACTTTTTGAGTTATATCCTTAATTGCGAACCTACATAACATATGTATTTATTATTATATTATATTATATTATATTATGAACTTTCCAATTTTCAGGGAATGGGTGGAAAATCCACATTTGATAATACGGAAGTTGTTAAAGATGCTGACGTAGTTTTGATATCAGTTAAGCCTCATATTATTCCGGAAGCTTTAAGAGATGTCACGAAAAAGTATTCAAACATGGACAAACTCTTCATGTCAGTTGCAATGGGCGTCACGACAAAACAACTAGAACAGGTAATACAGGGTATAAAATTCATTAAATGTTTTAAAAATGATTAATTATTTTATTATTATTTTAGGATTTACCAAAAGGTTCGCGAGTCATAAGAGTAATGCCTAACATACCAGTGATGGTTGGTTGCGGTGCTTCCGTCTACACTCTCGGAAGTGCAGCGACGGAAGCAGATGCTGAAACAACACGTTCCTTAATGTCAGCAGTTGGCACTTGTGACTATGTATCTGAATCATTGTTTGATGTAGTTACTGGACTGAGTGGATCTGGTCCAGCATATGTGAGTACAGTTATTGGAAAAATTAATTCAGTCATATTTATAACGGGTATTCACATATTAGAGTGGTGAAAGTTTTTCAATGCGATCATGGCTGAAAAGGTACATTTAAAGGTATATCCCTGAAAAAGTTTATGAAATCAATTGAAACAATAAAAATACAACGTATACAAGTATATACTATATATATATAGTAGCACATAGCCTTATGAGCTTTTCGAAAAACGAGCCGTCAAAAATACGGTTTGTTGCTTTGTCATACAAGCAAAATTCGAGATACGTGCGAGTGAGAACCGAATTAGGATTTGATGAAATAGGTTCATCTAATATCAATGGTGACAAGGATTTTTGTATGTGAGGTCGCAATTTACTATCATGCAAATATTTCCATGTTTGTGGAATGTATCTTTAAGATGTATTCACGCATAACATCAACACCTCTAATTCAAAAATATCTCAAGCGCTTTAAAATGCAACTGATGCACAAAATAATTAAAACCAGCGACACCAAAAAATAGCAAGATAGATCTCTTTAGTAAATAACAGAAAGTATGCCGGAATATGCCAATGGACCAACTGAGAA